CCCCAAAACCCCAAAACCCCAAAACCCCAAAACCCCAAAACCCCTCATTTAATGTTTCTTGTTGAGATGAATATAATATTTAAATTCAAAGTCATTAAATGGGAGAAGCTTGTTCTAAGTGTTATGGAAAGGAAGAAGAGACCGAAATAAATATGGAAAAAAGTGGCAAAGTAGATTTTAATAAAAGGAATGAGTTAGTGAACCTGATTAAAATCCAGACAGCAATTCGTAGTTATTTAGCAACAAAAGAAATAAAAGTTAAAGAAAATGTAGAACCTAGCTTCCGCTTTGGTAATCAACAAATGAACCATCCAGTCGAGCAAGGAGAAGATGCAAATTATGATAATGAGCAAGTAAAAGAATTGGAATCTAGGCTCGGCAAGTTTGATTATGAACAGTCCGATGTTGACACCTCTGCTGTCGAATTCAGAGGCATGAAAACTCTCGAAAACGGTGCCAGGTACCAAGGAGACTGGATCAAAGGCACCGAAACCAGACAAGGAAAGGGCATCCAAATCTGGTCAGATGGCTCCAAATATGAAGGCTGGTGGAAAGACAACAAAGCCAACGGCAAAGGCCGTCTCATCCATGCTGACGGAGACGTCTTCGAAGGCCAGTGGAAAGACGACAAGGCTCACGGCTACGGAGTCTACAGCCACCTGGATGGCGCCAAGTACGAAGGGCAGTGGCAGGAAGACAGACAGCATGGCAAAGGCGTCGAGACCTGGCCTGACGACGCATGCTACGATGGAGAGTACGTAATGGGCAAGAAGCATGGCCACGGAAAGTTCAGGTGGGCAGACCAGAGCACTTACACAGGTGCTTTCAAAGAAAACAACATTGATGGAAAGGGAATCTACGAGTGGTCGGATGGAAGACGATATGAAGGGGACTGGAAGAATAATAAAATGCATGGTAACGGTCACTTCGACTGGCCGGACGGAAGGCAATACGAAGGTGAATACATCGACGACAAAAAGGAAGGCCAAGGCCTCTTCATCTGGCCTGACGGTAGGCAGTACAGAGGTGGATGGAAAAACGGAAAGCAGCATGGAATCGGAATCTACATTACATCCAAGGGCAAAGAGAAGAAGGGCGAGTGGAATGAAGGCAAGAGAGTCAGATGGATCGTTGAGAGGGAGACTGCAAACTAAACTTTCATAATTTATTAATTTTACGTGATCCAATATTCCTTAGGCGAAAGGGGTTTTGGGGTTTTGGGGTTTTGGGGTTTTGGGGTTTTGGGGTTTTGGGGTTTTGGGG